TCATGAAAGTATCTGCAAGTCATGTTGGAAAACACATGATACAGCAGAGTTTTATACTGACCACCTCTTTTTAGCGATCTACAACATTAAAGCATTCACATTACCTTATTTGTCTGTTCTCACAGTAAACCACTGCCATGTGACAATATATTCCTGAGGTTTTGTTGTTGTTGGTGTTACGGTGCAGTTGCCAGATTTGGTTCCACTGTGCCTGCACAGAGACAATAACCAGAACCTGTGCTCACAGTCTGATCCCACAGAAGTGTTGTAACTTTACTGTCTGAGCCTTTCTCTGCAAATATGTATCATAGAGAATGCTTAACTTATTGGAAACACAAAAGAATAATAAAGGATCACAAAAGCAGTTCATAGAAATAGTCCCTCCATAACCTTTCAGGGGCTCTGTGCTTTGTTGTATCTTTGACCATCCTGTTCTCACTCCCAAGTCATCAAATACCGCCGCTCTGTCAGTGGACCTCAGTGTCAGACACTGATGCACAGAGGCACCCTTTGCAGCAGTCCACATAGAGCAGTTGGGAGTGGAGGTGGATGGGTCAAACAGACTCTGGACTTTCACACAAAGACAGTTATTAGTTTCCCTTGTAGACCAAAAGTCAATCGAGGTATTTCAATAGCAACATAGTGCAGTAGTCTGTGTAGCATGTTACGCTTGTGACTTATGTCACATGAAGTATTTCATGTGTTGCATTACTTTTGTAACAACCATACTTATTTTAAGCCAAACCTTGATTTGTTTTCCCCTAAACCAAACCACGTGCTTTTGTTGCCTAAACCTAAGGAAGTGAACCTAAAAACAACGTTTTTACCAATGTTGTAAGTTTATTTTGAAAGGGACTGTTTCATGTAATAAGCAGAAACTGTACATTTCCTGTGGAAACTGAGGTGTATTAATAATTATGTGTATAATAATAGTAAATGTATCCATCCATCCATCCGTCTGTCCGTTCATTGTCATCCCCATGTATAGGGCCGGGTCGCAGGGCAGCAGGCCAAGCAAAGCACCCCAGATGTCCCTCTACCCAGCCAACACAGTATTCCCCCGACCTTGTCACATATTGACGTTTGGTCATTGACTTTCCACATGCACATACAACGTCCAAGGTACCCTGTGTGCGTTGGTTGTTGACACTCTGGGACATCTTGTCATGTTCTGCCTGTTACATGCATTGTCCTCTTTCAAGATGACATTTTCCTGTCTTCACAGGAAATGTACAGTTTACATACAGTCTCTTTCAAAATAAACTCATTATGCCGGTACAACACTGCAAATTGACGTTTCTTTTCCTTCAACAACAAAAGCATGTGGTGTGGTTTAGGAAAAAAGAACAGGGTTTGGCTTTCGAATCTTACGGGACGTGAACACTGCCCTCTCTGGTGAAAATCAAACCCAGGATTCCTCCAGCATGTTCTGGGACCTCTCACCAGTGGGACATGCCCAGAACATCCTTCACGGGAGGCATCCAGAGGGCATCCTAATCAGGTGCCTGTACCGCCTCAGCTGACGACCAACAACCCAGGCGTAGCCATGATCTGATGGAACCTGCGAAAAATGGGAGCCCAAAGGCTCTGGGGAAGAAGCCAAGTTAGTAACATGTATTAATGGGGCAAGAATGTTAGTACATGGAGAGAGAGAGAGAAGAAAGAAGCTTAGTGTATCATAGGATGTTCCCCAGCAGAAGCTTATATCAGCCTAACTAGGGGCTGGTTCAGTGTATCATGCCAACGTTAATGGACGGCTATTTTCGGCAGGGTCGGACGCCACAAGTCACTGCCCAGGGCTGACCCTGTCACTGTAAGAAGAACGCTTCTTTTAACCAGTTGGATGTTAGCTCAGACAGCTAGCAACATGCACTACGGAACATGTACAAGAGATCAAAACACAAACCATCAATTTATTTATCAATTACATCACATTGTATTTAACCCATATTATATATTCAAACTAAACAATCATGGTCAATGGTCAAACACAAAATGTCACAAAAATAAAATTCTGAATACAGTTCTAAAAATCAAATGTCATTCAGTAAATAAATCACATGAGTAAACCAGATAAACATCTCAGCTTCATTCAGTTCAGTGTACGTTTGTCATAGGAGGAGATATGTAACTGAGAGATGAAGGGTAAAAATACATTATCTGGGAGAGCAGTCAAAGGTCCAGTGTGTAGGACTTGTGAGGGTGTACTGAAAGAAGTTCAATATAATTTATTAAGTATGTTTTTTCAGTGTAAAATCACCTGAAAATAAGAATCACTGTGATTTTGTTTCCTTAGCATGAGCCATTCATATCTACATAGGGAGCTATTTCGACTTGAAAACCTCCTGAACAATGAACACTTAAAGAATTCTAACCAGGAAAAGTTTCAGCTGGTTTCAATTTGCAATCCTCGCTACTAGATGCCACCAAATCCCCCCTAAATTCTCCACACTGGATCTTTAAAGGAGACTTATCTTAATGTCTGAACCACAGCCAGGAAGTTCACAGGTGTATCCAAACCGGTCTGAGATGTAGATGGAAGGTTTAATTCATCCCATCTGCTCCAGCAATCAGCCTTGGTGTCCAGGAAAGGTCACAAAATCCAGCTGGTTCCTGGATTAACTGCTGCTCTATTTACTTTTATCTTGCTTTCATATGTAGGCTACATTTATGTGTGTGTGTGTTTTTAGAGCATAGATGTACAGAAACTGAGGTAAACTTTGAATTCAGTCACTTTCACTCCTCTCTGTTCTCTCTGTGCTGCTTTTGTTTGTAGGGTTTCCCTTCCCCCGGCGCACAGGTGTGTCTCATTTCTCAGTCCCTGCCTGTCAGAGTTTAAGAAGGGCTGTTCTGTTTTTTTTCCCCTTTTCCTCTTTCTGCTACATCACCACAAGATGGTGCTCTTGCTTTAACGAGAAGGCTCATGGAATGCAGTGTGCTTTCTACCCCTTGTTGAGCAGAGATCACCATCTGGTGGGCTCATTAAACAGAGACTGGTTCATGAGGCCTCATTTGGCGTATAATTTAGTATGTCCCAATACATAGTGTGTCAAATGCAGTATGCCACAAATACCAGGGTGTTCTACTATATGTGGTTGAATATAATATGTTAGAATCTAGACTGTATGCAGCAGAGTTCTCTGGGTTGACCGCAAGCTTGGAGAATGGTTTTGTTTTATCTCCACAGTAACAGATATATGAACAAGAAGGTCAAAGTTCAAGGCACAGTGTTATGAAGAAGTAGTATGTCCCAACAGAACATATTGTGTGGGGTGCCCCAAGGGTCAATTTTAGGTCCAATTCTTTTTAATCTGTACATGCTTCCCCTTGGGGATGTCATCAGGAGGCACGGCATCAGCTTCCACAGTTACACAGATGACACACAGCTGTACATCGCCGTGTCTCCTGATGACACAGGGCCAATTGATGCCCTTTTTAACTGTATTTTAGATATCAAGTCATGGATGGCAGTGAACTTCCTACAGCTCAACCAGGACAAAACAGAGGTTGAAATTATTGGTCCTGAAGGCAAGAGAGAGAAACTTTTACCAAAACGACAAGATTTTAAACCCTCACAATGTGTGAAGAACCTGGGTGCCATTTTTGACTCTGAGCTTAGTTTTATTCCACACATAAAAAATGTAACAAAGACAGGTTTTTATCATCTTAAGAATATAGCCAGAGTCCGCCCGTTTCTCTCTCAGGCTAACACGGAGGTGCTGATGCATGCTTTTATCTTTTGTTGTTTAGACTATTGTAATGCCCTGCTCTCTGGTCTTCCCAAAAAGACCATCTCTAACCTGCAGTTACTCCAAAACTCAGCCACACGAGTGCTGACGAGGAACAGAGGGCGGGCGCACATTCCACCAGTTTTAAAATCGCTGCATTGGCTCCCCGTGTGTTTCAGGATCGATTTTAAGGTTCTTTTATTAGTTTTTAAATGTCTTAACAGTCTTGGGCCATCTTATGTATCTGACCTGCTTTTATCATATCAACCCTCGCGGATCCTTTTAATTGTTCCAAGAGTCAGAACAAAAACCCACGGGGAGGCTGCATTCAGCCATTATGGCCCTCACTTATGGAACAGCCTGCCGGAGTGCATCAGGACTGCAGAGACTGTTGATGTTTTTAAAAGGAGGCTCAAGACTCACCTTTTTAGTTTGGCTTTTAACCGATTTCTTTTACTCTTTAAATTCTTCTATTATATGTTATTTTAATATCTAATGCTTTTAAATGATTTATTTTTAAATCTTTATGCATTTTATTATTATTAAATGTCTAAATCTTCATTTTTTTAATCTTTAAATCTTTAATTTCTCTAAATCCTTAAATTTTTATGCATTTTCTTATTATTTTATCTCATACTTGTTTTACCCTATCCTATTGCCTTTTAGTCTTTTAGTTTTTAGCTCCCTCATGGGGGGCCTCCACACTGGGAGGTGTGTCCGGTCTGCCTGCGGGGACGTCGTCCTGCACCATGTGTGGAGTCTACCCCAGTCTATCTGGGTCAGGGTGGTCTCTGTGGCGGCGCTCCCTGTGGCCGTAGTCTGTGACAATTCTCGGTGTGGATGGCTCCCCATAGGTGGATTTTTCCTCACCTGGTGCCTCAGTGTGTGTGTGTGTGTGTTCATATGTGGGGGTGGGAGGGGCTGGTTTTCAATATTTGTAGTATTTTTGTTGTATGTTTTTATTTTGTGAAGCACTTTGTGTTGCATTTTTAATGTATGACAAGCGCTATATAAATAAAGTTTGATTTGATTTGAAACGCAGCTGCAGAACCTTCTAAAAGTTAAAAGAAAAAGTATGCGGCTCAGAACACACACACATAGTAGATAATAAGTCATATCTCATAAAGACTTTAGTGCACACAGATCGCTGTCACGATCAAATCTGTTGCAGAATCTTTCTTAGATGTTTAAAAGAAATGCATCTGGAAGAGCTTAAACATTTCCACACTGATATTGCTAATCATAACCATAAATAAATGAGACACTGGAACATGAATGCTGAAGCGTTTATTGCAGTAAATTTAAAAGCTTGTGTTTGCAGTGTTATCATGAAACAAACTGGTCCCACTGCAAGACAGCTGATCAGCTGTCGATGTCGACACTGACTGAAAATGTGAAATCAGCTGATGATCACATATTCTTGGCGCACACAAAGTATTTCTTGTCTGAGCAGCGTATATCATTCCAGTATCCCCAGTCTGGAAAACACAACAGAAAACATCACATTCAGTGACATCAGGAGTTGAAGTGGAAACCATTATTTCAGTGGTTCATTAAACACAATGTCAGCATTCACAGACAGTTGGTTCTTGCACGAGGCCCAATGTTCTTCGGATTCACTAATAACTTTTTGGCGTCCATTCATTCTTAAAACTACAATCTTTCTTTCTCCTCTATTTTTCCTTACTTTTATAGTTCGACTCGACGCAGTGCTCCTTTCCATCGCTGTTGTTTGGCTCACCACGATGCCACCTAGTGTACTTGAATTCAGATCCATCAGTGTATCCAAACCTCTGAAAAACACAAAGATGAGGATCAGTGATGTGACACACACACTCCTCTATGTATCATAGAGTATCATCCATCAGTGAGGTTACGTACCCAGCCCACGTGTTGGTTCCCTGTTTTTCTGAGTCCAATCCAAAAAGAATTGCGAAGATAACGCCTGGCATGTGAGATCAAACAATACACGTTCATCATCTCAGCCTCATTGTGGATTGAAACCAGATGACCCCCCTGGCTGTTGCGGCAGTAGTCCTGAATTCAACAGACAGGTGAGAAGTGTGAGTCTTCACCAGCACTTTATCTTAACTGTATGCACAAGATGAGGATACATTTACTATCTTTTTTTTCTGCTGATGCCTGTGTGTGCTGAGTTCCTGTAGATGAAGTGACAGCCTCATGAGCCATTTTCTTTATTTTATAGGCCCACTAGATGGCGATCTCTGTTCAACAAAGGGTTCAAATTACACTGGATTTTCATTCCTGGTGGGGTTGTAGCCATCCCTCACTGTTTGGTACGTACTGTTTTTTAAAGTTCACTTTTGGCTGAATGTCGCAGTCTCCCTGGACGGTAATTCAGGTCCACCTGTTGCGCAGGGTGTGGGCACTGACTCCTGATTAAGAATGGAGAGCAGCTTGGTGCATTTCCCCTCTGGACCAATCAGGGTGTGATGACGCCCTCCCTTAAGGCACCTCTTTCATCTGTGATAATAATTCTATTTAATACCCCCATACATATTTTTGTGTATTTAATGATGCTCTGCTGCTCTGCACTGACTTTCTGTTGCCATTTTAAGCTCCTCCTCTCCAAAGCTGTAAAGCTCTAGGACCAGGCTACGTTGCTGACTCAATTAACTATTTGCCTCCAAGAAAACTGTGATCATCCAGTGTTGGTTTATGGGAGGTTCCCAGAAATAGCTGAAAGAAAATTTGAGGATGTGGCCTTTGTTAATTACACCCCAGAGTTAAGGAACACATCTTATTTTATTTTATGATTTATGGGATTTACAATTCATTTTATGATGTCATGATTTATTTCCTCTTTTGATTTTTTATGAATTTAGATCTGTTTCGTTATGTCTGTTTTCATGTGAAGCACTCGGTGCTTATACTGCCCTCATTGTAAAGCACTTTGTGCTGTATTTCTTGTATGAACGGTGCTAGATAAATAAAGTTTGTAATAATAATACTACTAATAATAATAATTGTTATTAGTAGTAGTAGTGGTATATTGTGTCCTCGTTTTAATTGTGTGTGTGTGTGTGTGTGTGCACGCGCGCATCACCTGTGCATCATTGAAAGTTTTTTTACTCCAGAAGAATTTAGCACAGTGTTTCGCACCAATGCGGCTCCATCCTCCACCGCATGGCTTGTCAGGATAGGATTTACATTGAATGGCAGGATAAAACCCTTATGGAAGACAAGTACTTTAATCAACAACTCTCCTGGGTTTCAGTTCAGTAATATGGTGACAATGGCATGGTACTTGCTAAATCTGGCTGTCACAGTGTCCAGGATGCACACCAACAGCAGGACAGCAGTTACCACAGCTAGACGCATGGCTCAGGCCTCAATAACTCTCAGTGATCCACAGCAGAAATATCACCTGTAAAGATGAAGTTCAAAGTGTAAATATTTGCCAGACTGTTTCTTGACCAGGTACAGTCACTTCCTGGAGTTTCTGCTCATGATGACAAGCAGAGTAATTGAAACAGTCTGGCACATAACTCCCTATAAAACCACAATTTATTTTGTGCAAACAAGATCTGAAGTTTTAGTTCTACATAGCTGATAACACTCTAACAACTACATTCAGGCAGAAATGTGTCTCAGTGCTAATTTGGTTTGCTTGTTACCCAAAGAAACTTTATTTCTCTGTGTCTCGTGGGAACTGTACCTCAAGAAAGGCTGATATAGTGTGTGGAGACACTCTTCATCTTCAGTCAGTGACTATTGCATTACCCTCCTTACCCGCCGTCTTTAAAATCCTGCTGGCTGATCACATCTTATTCAAAATGCTGAGGCCAGATTTGAGTTGGAAAAAGGAAACTTGATCACATCAAACCAATCCTCAGGTCTTTGCAGTAGCTGTCTGTCAATGTGAAAATGAGCTATAAAATAATTCAGGTCATATTTTGCATTGCATCAACTCTTCTGATATCCTAAAACATACAGAGAGAAGAAACTCACCACAGATGTCCTCTGGTTTCTAGTTGCTCCTCTGTCTGTCTGTCAGGTGGCTCTTCCTCTCACTGATAAACTCACCACTCATGGTCTGTGGGCAGCAGTGTTCTACCAGTGTCAACACTGGCTTGGCTTCACATGATTAATTATAAGAACAAACATGGAATGAAGGTGTTGTCGTATGCCTCAAGAAAAACACACTCTTTTTTGTGGGTAAGAAAAGAAATCATAAAAAGAGGTGGTGAGACGCACATCCCAAATAAAATTTCATTTGGGTGCTGGATCAAAAAACTCAAGTGAAGATGAAAAAGAAAAAGATGATCCGCGCACCAAATAGAGCTCCCATTTCTTTATATTTTTTTTAATTTGTCATTCGTGACGTTTCGAGCACGCAGGATCTTCCTCAGACTTGTTGAAAAAAAAATCAAAACTGTCTGATGTTAAAACTGTCACTTTCAGCGTGCTTGCAGCAACAATATTCTCTCAATACATACAATTATTAAGTCTTTTAAATATTTTCTGGACTGTCCTCAAGGTTATGTAGCAAGGTGATAGCTTCTTGTATTGGTGAGAAGCGTAAGTTGGAATCGAGAGTTGTGATTTGGCCTGAGCTCTGCGGTCAGTGAAGCCTCTGGCTGCACCACAGAGCTGCTGCTCAGAGGGTCTTTGAAGGGACCATATGTGAGCACCCTTGAGCAGTCTTCCCTGGTCCCACGTGCTCTAAAAAATGTCCAAGCTCTTGTGGAGTCAAATCTGGAACAGGCAAAAAGGACACAGGCTCATCACAAAGATGGAGACAGGGTCTGGACCAAGGCTATAATAATAATAATAATTATAGTTACAAAATAATAATAATCATTAATATAAGAATATTTAGAAAATACTTAGATTTAAAAAAAAAAAGATAGGGGAAAAACTACAACAATTATAATATTACTATATATATATTAATATATTTTAAAATTATGTTACAAAATTATAATTTTTTAGCATTCTCTCTTCATTATTCTTTTTATTTTATTCATTCGTATTTATTTTATTTTTTAGTCTATTCATTGTATTTATTTTACTTTTTTTTTTTCTATTCATTGTATTTATTTTACTTTTTTTTTTTATTAATTCTTTATCTAAATTTTCCTGTTTTCAATTGTTTTTTTTAATAATTTTTTGCTATTTTTTTTTCTTATTTTGGGTCATTTTGTCTTTTGTTGCTCAGTGCCTTCTTCCCATGTTTGTTGAAAGAAATAAAGCCAAGCTCAGGTCTTAAAGGGTTAATGTCAGAAACGTCTTTCTTGTAATCAGCTTGTAATCAGCTTGTAATCATCATTAAACACTGTGTAATATAACGTTAGCATACGTTACGTGTGCTGACGTTTGCAAGCTAGCAGCGTGACATTTAATCATTATGGACAGGCTACGTGGTTGTCTAAAAGGCAGTGTAAAATTTGCCTGACCCATCTGGAGCTCAGGTAATTTTGACCCTCAATCAGAGACCTGTAATTGCCGTTTTTCTGGTCATCGGAGGCCAGGCAATCAATAAAATATTCTTGAATACCTAAAACAAAACACAAACACGTGTTGTTGTTTTTAGTCACGTAGCCTGTCCATAATGATTAAATGTCACGCTGCTAGCTTGCTAACGTCAGCACACGTAACGTATGCTAACGTTATATTACACAGTGTTTAATGATACAGTCTATTATCTCCCTATTACTCTAATCTTTCCTGCTTATCGCTCAAACAAATGATTAATTTTTAAATTAATATGGGTACTCATTTAAGATACCTTCATCAGTTACCGGAGGCCACTGTCTAACATCATCAGTCCAGCTATTCATGATGCTGTCATTGTAGAGAGTTCCACTGTGGCTTTTTTATTTGCATTGTTGCTTTTTTTTATTTGCGTCATTGCTTTTTTTATTTGCATCATGGCGTTTCTTTTTATTTGCAGCGTTTTTTTTATTTGCAGCGATGGTGTGTCTCGGCCACCGTATGGTAGAGATATTCATGGTTAAAAGAAAAACTCTGAATTTCCTTAAGTCTTACAATTAGCAGGATAAACTTGAATATTCACTGAGATTACAAAGTCACAAATTTGTGAGAAAAAAAAAAGCAAAAATTTTTGGAAATTAGAATCAGAAATTTACGAGAACAAACTGGGAAAATAGAGTTCTATATTTTTTGTCAAGTAACTAAATCGCTTCACCTTGCAATGTTAGACTGACCTCATCTCAACACAATATTCAAATGTTAAATGAACATTTGACTTCTTCACTTTATTTGTCAGGAGCACATTCACACATAGGAGGGAGTTCACCTTAAAGAAGGTTAGCTTCAACAACACTGAATATTTAAAGTTGGAGAGTGGGGGTGCCAAACTTGAGTCAACAGACTTAAGTCCCTGAGGGAACTTTTGCATAAAACCTTAGTATTTATACTAAGGTTATAACCTCAAAGCTTACATGAACCAAAGGATTATTCAAAAGTTCCCTCAGGGACTTCAGTCTGTTGACTCAAGTTTGGCATCCCCACCCTTAAAAAAATGTGTATGTAAATTTACACATTGAAATAACAGCTATAGTCTTATTAATCTGACAATTTATTTTTCACTGCCACCTGAAATTACTAATTTAAAGCCTAACTTATTGATTTGAATGTTGAATCTTTGAAGCGTGGAGAATGTGTCCTAAAATTGATGTGACAAGATGGTTAATTGTTGACAGCTCATAGCATCTTGGTTAGGTATGAAAGGGGCATCTTCAAAACTCTCAGTCACTCTGTTTTTCTCAAAGGGTACGTAAGGACATCAACAAAGGGTACGTAAGGACAACTTTGTGCCTCAATGCTGCATACAAACAATTTAGTAGAAATCAATATCTCATATCTCATATCAATATTCTTTTACTGATGTTATTGTTAATTTGTAGCCAACTGGTTAATTGGTTTAATTTAATAGGTATGCAGGGTGAATAAAAGATTCTGATCTGATCTGTGTTGTCCAAAAAAAGACAATAATGTTGGAATCGTTTATGCTGGTGACAAGCTATATATTCTGTCTAAACTATGAGATTCTCAGCCTTTTGAAGCAGTTTGAAATCACATGATATTGGAATTTATAAGTGTGCACACTCACTACTTTGCAGGGGTAGGAGAAGGTTGTCTTTGCATTTATATATGCAAGTGAAGACTCTACCATGCAAAGTGAAAGATATTGCGTTCCTGCGAAAGAGACAGATGCCAGGTCAAACTGACCTTTGCCCTTTGACCACCAAAAACTAATCAGTTCATCATTGAGTCCAAGTCAACATTGGACTTGCTGCAGCCATTTCTGTTTTTGTCATTTATAATATTTCTTTTTGTCTCTAGTGGGAATAGACTTACGTTCATATTTTTGCATGGATCTTATAGAAGTCTTTGATGGTATAATGACTTACTTTGCATGTGATACATCAGAGTTTTTATCATAGTTGTATATAACGGTAATATGCTATGAATATATCGTGGCATTACGGTGGCTGAGACCCACCATAGCTGCAAATAAAAAGAAACGTTGCGATGCAAATAAAAAAAAAAAGCAATGACGCATATAAAAAAAGCAACAATGCAAATAAAAAAGCCACAACAGAAGTGAATTACCGGGGACTATTTTTGCTGATGCACATGTTTTTTATGTGAAAGAAGAAGAAGAAGACGAAGAGAGAAAAGTAAGAAGAAGATGAAAAATAAGAAGAAAAACGAATGAAAAAGTAAGTGTGTTATATATGGTTAGGCCATGTAGCCCCAGGTTTGATATGAAGCTGAACTGGAGGATGCTGGTGTTCCTCCATCTGAATAGTACTGACGAATTCGGTGAGCGATTTGTGTATGCTGCCATCTTGCGGCGGCGCCATTGCTGCGGTGACGTGTCAGTCATCATTTCATTATGCTGTCATTGTGAACTGACTCTCTACAATGACAGCATCATGAATAGCTGGACTGATGATGTTAGACAGTGGCCTCCGGTAACTGATGAAGGTATCTTAAATGAGTACCCATATTAATTTATAAATTAATCATTTGTTTGAGCGATAAGCAGGAAAGATTAGAGTAATAGGGAGATAATAGACTGTATCATTAAACACTGTGTAATATAACGTTAGCATACGTTACGTGTGCTGACGTTAGCAACCTAGCAGCGTGACATTTAATCATTATGGACTTTATTCAAATGTTATGGACAAAGTTCTTTGGTTTCTTATGGTTCCAAATGCCAGTGTCCTGGTGGAAAGTCCTATGTTTGTTTGACCCATCCACCACCCCAGCCTTCCTCCTTACATGGACTTTCACTCTTCATATTACTTCCTTGTTTACCCTCATCAGCACATTGATCACGTAATCACAGCCTTCACAGCAGTCATATTAATCCAACAGCATCACATATAATACCAAGACACTGATATGGAACATTTCATTGCACAACTATTACATTGTAAAAGTTAATATACTTAAATAGATATGTTTATATATATAAATACTAGTCCATACCCATTGAGTGCACAGTTGCCTACGTACAGTTTGACATGGTGTGTGTTTGGGATACAGGTCATAGGAAATTGCAGATGAAATAGTCAACTGAAGCCATTAAGAAGAGCAATGTATTCAGACAGAGTTTTGTGAATTTGATAGTACGTTTTCTTTATTGAAAGTACAGTAGTACCATTGCCAATAGTGGGATAGTTAGTGGGCTAAAACTGTACATTAGTAGTTGAGGTAGCACGTTGAAAGGCAGATAGTTAAAGTGTTTATATGTTGTATTGACTTAAAAGTGGGG